GTTAACCATATATTTGTGGGTCTAGTTCTAGACTTTAAAAAAAATTTTGAACCATACTCACGGGCGTGCTCAGGGAACCACACGGTGCTGGGTCTGAACCACGGGGCTCCCCCGTGCAAAGTCTGTGCCCCGGCCTCCGAGCCATGTTAGACTTTTTCTGGTTTGGTGATCTTTTGTTTCTATCAGTATCTCATGGTTTTGTTGCTGTTCCTTAGGGTAAAGTAAAGTAAAGGCCCTCCCGTTGATCGTCGATTTACTCGAGCGGGCCCAGTAACGTCTCCATTGGAGACTTTGTTGTTACTGTGTCTGGCATATCGAATACTCTCGGTAGCTTGCCGGGCTCTCCGAGAGGGGCGGAGGAATCGAACTCGGGTCGGCCATGTTGGCCGCTTGTAAGGCGAACGCCCTACCCGCTGTACTATCGCTCTTGAAATTAGAAATAGATAACATCTCTGGCTTTGTTTTCTTCCAAAATTATTTTGTCTAGGCAACTGTCTAGATACTTGCCTTGTACTCAGCTGACCCAGGTTCGATCCCCACCCCTCCCCCTACCATGTGGTGACCAGAGCCCCACCAGGATTGACCCCCTGAGCAGAGTCAGAAGTAAGCCCTGGGCACAGCCAGATGTGGCACCAAACAAAACCACACACACACACACACACACACAACACACACACACAATTTTGTCTCTAGTTCTTTGTCTTTCCATATTCGTTTTAGTTTGCCAATTATTAAAAATTGTTAGCTGGGGTTTTTATTGGAATTGCTTGAATCTATTAGATCGTTTTAGGGAGAAATGATGGCCTAACATCATTGAGTTCTCCAGTTCATGAGTGTGATTGATCTCAGCATTATTTGTTTTCCATAAGTCTCTCCTACATTCTTGGCTCAGAACATATAAATCTTGCACATAATTTAACCCAGAATACTTCAAGATGTATGCTATCTCGAAATGGCACCATTTTGATTAACTTCTTCTTTTTCATTACTGTTGTCTTGGGTCTCGTGGCAATGACGGGAAATCGCGTGGCAGAAACCACTTTCGCCCACATCATGCTTCTAGCACACACGCTTCTACCTGATTCCCCACCCAGGGCCGGACGGGAAACGAGGTCTGTGATTTCAAACAGTCTGTTCATATCCACATGTAGAGCTTTTCCTGCTCTTCCGTTTTTCAGTCCACTCGCTGTGGGGGTCACCCTCCTGACTTATACACACCTGCCATAGCACTTGCATCAGAGACTGAACACTGCACACCAGGGGTCCCACTGACAGGGCAGCTGGCCCCCTGCTGCGCTCATGTGGGGGGACACTGGAGCTCGAACTCACAGCCGCACGTCAGCAAGGCAGGCGCCTGTGCTGCTGAGCCCCCCAACTATTCCCATACCCGCCCTCGGATTTTTGGGCCACACCCAGCAGTGCTTAGGACTTGCTCCTGGGCTCTGTGCTCAGGGCTCACTTCCGGCGGGGTTCAGAGGGCCATATGTGGTGCCAGGGATTGAACTCAGAGTGAACACCTGCAAGGCAAATGCTCTACTTGCTGTACTAAACTCAAGCCCAGCAATCTTAAAAACTTCCTTAAAAACCTCATCCAGGGGCTGGAGTGATAGTACAACAGGGAGGGCCTTTGCCTTCCATATGGCCCCCCCACCAAAAAAAAAAAAAAAAAACCTGATTGGTCCTTAAATGTAGTTTGAAACTAACATCTGACTGATCTGAGGGGCCCTCACCACTTCCGACATGAACTTGTCCTTTTTGAGGCGCTGACTTACAGTACGGTTCTGGACAGAGTTTCATGCATCCAGCACTCTTTCAATGGAGAAACGGCCCGTTCTAGAGCTAGGGCAGACAGTTCTGGTGATGAATGTGGAGGAGGCCCTCCAAACACAAAACAGGGTCAGGAAAATGACAGCAAGGGGCCTCTGCTTTGCATACAGACGCCCCGGCTTCCAGCACCAGCACCCCTTCTGGGAGCAAACCCCAAGCCAGAGTGCCACCCGAACTGGGACTTTGTCAGAGAGAAACTAGAGGCAGCTGAAAAACTCAATGGCCAAAGCTGGAATGATGGGAGCAATGAAGTACCATCGGGAAATAGCATGAAGAATCGATATTCAAAGAATAGGTAGTCATGGACTCATGCCTGCCCTCTGGGAGGTAGAAAGTCACTCTCCTCTCTCCAGAGCAGCGCAGACCAAGCTGAGAGTTCTGCTTCCCCGGAATATGAAAAAGGGGAGCAAGGTGACCCTTTGCTGGCGCGGACAACCTTCGCCAGGCGAGCAACATTAGCAGAGAAACAGGCTGACAGGAAGTTCCCTGGATAAGAATTACACATCGCAGGCTGGAGAGAGCACAGGGGTTCAAGCATTCGTCTTGCACACAGCCGACACTGGTTCAGTCCCTGGCGTCACCTGTGGTCCCCCAGGTACCACCTGAATGAATACAGAGCCAGGAGTAGTCCCTGAGAACTCCAGGGTGTGACCCCCAAAGCAGAAGAATGGTGCTCCTGGGCAGGAGAAATGGCTCAGAGGGCTGAGTGCATCGTGCTTTGTGCGAGGGAAGCTGTGTTCGACCAGCCCCCCCCCTACCCCCCGCAGAGTGCCCTGAGCACAGAATTGGAGCAGCCCCCAAATACCACCAGAAATGACCTCAACTACTTGCCCATACACCCCCAAATAACACGTCACTTCTATGGTCCTTTTGCCCCAAAAACTTTCATCAGGGTCAGAGACACAGCACAGCAGATAGAGCACTTGAATCGCACGTGGATGAGCCAGATTCAATCCCCAACACCCCATAGGGTCTCCCGAACCCTGCCAAGAGCGATCCATGAGCACAGAGCCAGGAGTGAGCTCTGAGCACAGCGAAGGTGCCTCTCCCACCCCACCCCAAAAAGAACAATATCACAGACTAAGCATGACAAAAGATAAATCCTAATTAATGTATGTTCTATAAAATATTTACCCCATCCTTCCAACTACCAAGGTCATTAGGAACTGCATCGTGTTAGAGGCTATCAGAGCTTGGCAGTCCAAGGAGGCCTGGCACCTACAGGCCACCCCAGGTGGGAATAGGTTTCGTTCCTTGGCCTGTTCCCCTTGGCGGCTCGGTCACCACCATCTCCCAAAGGCCTATGAACTGCCAGGTAGGGGCCCACAGTGACAAAAAACGCGAGTGCCTCATAGGATGGGGGTGGAGCCGGCCCATCCCCCTCCCCCTGCCCCACAAGACCCCAAGTTGCTGCCCACAAACAAGCCCTCTGGCTACTGATCAAGCTGCTTATTGGCCATAATCCCAGAGACTCAGAAACAAATCTCAGAACCCAGCAGCTTTTGGCAGAAATCCCTCCAGATTTAATTATTAAAACTTCAGAATTCCAAAATGCAATCATATGCAATTCATAATCAGCAATAGAAAACAAATTGTCTAATGTTTCCTTTTTGGCAAATTTCAGTGTTGGGGTGAAGTCCCAAATAATGATGGTGGGTCTGGTGTTGAAATATTGAATGTAATCAAAGTAGAGAGAGAGTAACATGGAAATCGTCTGCCACACAGGTAGGGGGAGGGTGTGGGATGGGGTATTCTGGGGTTTTTTGGTGGTGGAAAACGTGCACTGGTGAAGGGTTGGGTGTTTCATCATCGTATGACCGAGACTTAAATCGAAAATGTTGTAACTGCTCTCACAGTGATACAATTGAAAAAAAATAGTGGGGGGGGGGGGTAGGCCTGGCACCCAAAGTTGATGCGGTGTCCTGGGTGCCAGCCTGGAGCAAAGAAACGGGAGGGCCAGCGTGGGAGAGGCACCAGTGGTATAGAGCCATGACCCGTGTGCCTAAGGAGTCAGTCCCAGACAACACAAACCCCCAAAACAGTGGTAAAACCAAATTAAAGCAAATAATTTACACTGGTTCATTACTTAGGCCGAATCACATAATAATGTATATAGAAATGGGAGCTATATGACAGTTACCTATACGTCTTCTGTAAATCTAAAACTTTAATTTTCTTTTAAAAGTCCACAAAGGACCAGTGCAATAGTACAGCAGGTAGGACACTCGCCTTACACATGACCAACCTAGGCTCGATGCCCGGCATTCCATAATGTCTCCTGAGCCCAGCCAGGAGTGATCCCTGAACATGGAGCCAGGAGTTTAGCCCTGAGTACTTCAGGGTGTGGCCAAAAAATAAAAATAAAAAGTCTGTAGAGTTGGAGAGATACTGCAAGGACCGAGGTGCTTGCTTTGCATGCAACAGACCTCAGTTTGATCCCCAGCACTGCCAGGAGAATCATTCCTGAACACAGAGCCAAGAGTAAGCCTCAAGGACCGCTGAGTATGACCCCAAAACAAAATTACTATAAAATGTACAGACAGCATCTGACTAGCTCAGTCAGCAGAGCATGGGACACTTTTTTAAGTAAATTAAAGGGTTTGGAGAGATAGTACGTTGGGTAAGGACTTCCATGAAGATAACCCAGTTTTGGTCCCAGCACTTCATATGATCCCCCAAAACACCACCAGGAGTAAGCCCTGAGCATAGACGGGTGTGGCATAAAAGCCCCCCCCAAAAAATGCGCTTAGGAGCTGGACAAGTAATACTAAGGTTTAAGTGCATACCTTGAATGCAGACTCAGTTCGGGTTCTCTGATATGGTCCCCTAAGTGCAGTACTAAAGACCCCTCAGTACTTCTGGGGGTGGCACTCAGGACCCTTCCCCCACCCCAGGACCGCCCCCCAAAAAAGTGTATTTATTTACCTCAAAAGGTATAGGCAAGCATGTTGCCTGCCTCAGATCCAGTCTCTAGCACTGTGGCCAGCCCAGCACGGCCAGCTTGAGCGCACTGGATAGCCAAAACCCCAGCCCCGACCCTTCGCTCCACCGTCAGTTCCCTAGAAGCAAAAAGTTCAAGTGCATTTAATTACCTCCTCCCTCCCCCCGATTTTTACTTGCTTGGCCAACAGATGACAACATGCTTATTTGCACAACTGTATTTTTAACTGCAGGGTGCGGGTGACAGTTTTGTGGGGGCTCTGGCCTTCTACCTGGCCTACTACCCAAGTCTGCCCTTGGAGGACATGCTCAAAAGAGCCAACGCCATTGCCGCAGTCAGCGTCCAGGCCGCGGGGACACAGGCGTCGTACCCGCACAGGAAGGACCTGCCGCTCCAGCTCTTCTGACGGCGCCAATGGGTAACAGAAGGCACCGGGCGCTCCCCGGTCTGTGCTCCTGTGAGCACTCACCTCACGCATGCGTCTGTTTAACTTGATGCTTCCACTCCGGAGAAGCCTCTGTTCTCTCTCGAGGTGGCGCGTCTCTCCTCTCACATTTAAGTTTCAATTAAAAATTCTCTGACTTCACAATTTTGTCTCCCCCTGAAATTCTTTTCTGCGAGGAAAAGATGACAGACACGAACTCACATGTGGAGGCTGGGACTGAACCAGTCTAGGCGGGCATTTCTCCTAACGCTGATGGCCAAAGAGGGTCGAGTAGAGAAGTAGACACATTCTTTTTTCTTTTTATTGAATCACCGTAAGATACAGTTATAAAGCTTTCATTTTGAGTTTCAGTCATACAATGATCGAACAGCCATCCCTCCACCAATGCGTATTTTCCACCACCAATGTCCCCAGTATCCCCCCATCCCAACCCAACCCGCCCCCTGCCTCTATGACAGACAATTTCTCCCATACTCTCTACTTTGGGGCATTATGGTTTGCAATAGATACTGAGAGCCATCACGTTTGGTCCTTCATCTACTTTCAGCAACATCTCCCATCCCGAACGATCCCTCCAACCATCATTGACTTAGTGATCCCTTCTCTATTCCAGCTGCCTTCTCCCCCAGCTCATGAGGCAGGCTTCCAACTATGGAGCAGTATTCCTGGCCCTTGTGTCTATTGTCCTTGGGTGTCTGTCTCATATGATGTTATTGTATATTCCACAAATGAGTGCAGTCATTCTATGTCTGTCCCTTTCTTTCGGACTCAAATATTTCACTTAGCATGATACTCTCCGTGTCCATCCACTTATAAGCAAATTTCATGACTTCATCTTTCCTTACAGCTGATACTATTCCATTATAGACATATTCTTTTTCTGAGTCAACCATCCTTGGTCCCCACTGAGCCACCAGCAACATAAAATGGCAGCCACGAAGGGATCACAGTGAAGAACTTCAACAGGAAGGAGATAACCCTGTGGAAATCTGTGGTTTGGGCAGATGGACAGGAAAGGGCCCTGGCAAAGAGATTTTTAGGAAGAAAAAATACCAAAGGAGTTGCCAAGTCACTGGCCCTGTAGTTAACCCAGGCAGGAAGACACCACCCAGAGAGGGATGGACCCTTCAGAAGCAGCCCCAAGAATAAAAGGTCCATCCACAGCCCAGGTTTAAACCCACCCATGTCTCAAAGGTCCCGGGGAAGCCCCTCTGGAGAGCAAAGCCTACAGAGCCTTCTGGTACCTATTAGAGTCGGGGGCTCGGTCTTTCCCGTGCTGATTCACCTTCTGTTTTTCTTAATGATTTTACATTTAAAAAATAAAAGGAAAGGGACAGATATAGAATGACTGCATTCATTTGTGGTACACACACACACACACACACACACACACACACATTAGAATATCCATGGCCTGGGGAAACGGGTTAGGAGGACTGGTCAATGGTTGGAACTAACCACAAGGGTGAGGGTAGGTTAGATAGAGAAGAGAACGCTATGCCAATAATAGCTGGGAATGATCACGCTGGACAAGATCTGAGGGTTAAAGGTAGGTAAGGGATATTCTTGATAACCTTTCAGTATCAATACCGCAAACCACAATGCCCAAAGTCAGAGAGAGAGAGAGAGAAGAGAGTGAGAGAGAAGAGCACCTGCCAAAGAGGCAGGCAGGGAGTGGGGGTGGGGGTGATGGGAGGGAACCTGGGGACACTGGTGCTGCGAAATGTACACTAGTGGAAGGATCACTTTTCAATCATACAATGTTCAAGCACCCATCCCTCCACCAGTGCCCATTCTCCACCACCAAGGTTCCCAGTTTCCCTCCCGCCAACCCCACCCCTTCCCACCCCCGCCTCTTTTGGTTTCAATGGGGCAAGGGAGACAACTCCATGAGCTGAGTGCAACTTTGCATGTGAAAGGTGCAGGTCCAATCCCTGGCATCACCTAGACTCCCGAGCACCACCAGGGGCAGCCCCTAAGCACCCAGTCAGAAGAGCCCCTGAAGACTGCTAGGTGTGGCTTAATAACCAAAACCATGTTACACTGTACACTGTTACACTGTTACAGTGTACACTGTAGCACTATTGTATGACTGAAACTTAATCACGAAAGTTCGTAAGTCTGTAACTGTATCTCACAGTGATTCATTAAAATAAAATTTAAAAAAATACACAATTGATGGGCTGGAGCGATAGCACAGCAGTTAGGGCTTTTTTTTGCCTTGCATGCAGCCAACCTGGGTTCGGATTCCTCCGCCCCTCTCGGAGAGCCTGGAAAGCTACCAAGACTATCCCGCCCGCACGGCAGAGCTCAGCAAGCTCCCTGTGGCGTATTCAATATGCCAAAAAAAGTAACAAGTCTCACAATCCAGACGTTACTGGTGCCCACTCCAGCAAATCGATGAACAATGGGAGGACAGTGCTACAGTGCTCACAGTGGAGGGATGGGTGTTGGAACACTGTATGACTGAAATTCAATCATGAACGGCTTAGTAATGCTATATAAAAAAACTAAAATAAAATGCATCTGTGGGTGGTCATGCTTAACCATCAGTAACTAGAAAACTGTTTTTCAGGGCGGAACCATAGTACAGCGGGCAGGGCGCTTGCCTTGCACGTGGCTAACCCAGGCTTTATCCCGGGCACACTGTATGGTCTCCGCAGCCCACCAGGAGTGATGCCTGAGCTCAGAGACAGGAATACACCCTGAACACCACCGGGGGTGTGACCTTAAATAAAAAGAAAAGAAACTTGCCTCTTTCTGCAAAGTTATGTTCACTGACCCAAGTTTTCTCCCACTCTGAAAGTGATGATCTCAGTTTTCAGGCCCAGCAAAGGAAGGAGTCTGTGAGCAGAACCTATACAAATATTTAAATGACAACTCTAGGGCTGAAGACAGCATGGGAGGTAGGTGCCTGCCTGGCACCCCCTGTGGTTTCCCGTGTCCCATCAGGAGTGATCTCTGAGGACCACCAGGTATGGCCCAAAAACCAAAAATAAGAACTCTAGGGGCTAGAGAAAGAACACAGGGCGAGACCTTTACCCTGCATGGACCCCCTACATCTCACATGGTCCCCTGTGAGTAGGAGCACATCCTTCTTCAGCCAGAAGCAAAGCCGACAATGTGTGGCAAACAGGAGCCCGAGTGAGAACGTGTTAAGAGATCTGGGCTGAGTCCAAGTCCACCTGAAGGCTGGAGCGTACAAAGGGTGTGACCTTGAATGTGGCAAACCCGGGTTCGACCCCCAGCACCCCATATAGTCCCACTGAGCACAGAGCTAGGAAGAAGCCCTGAGCATCACTGGGTGTGGTCCCCCAGAAACAGACTTTACCTGAACATTAGGGATTATCAGTGGCATTTCCAAGCACGTTAGCTGTGTGGCACTACCATGACTTCTAGTACTACAGCTCCCCTAACTCATGGGTGAAGCAATCCCTGAAATAAAGGGCTCCAAAGCCATCGAGGGCTGGAGAGCGAGAGCTGGGGTGAAGGCGCTTGCTTGCTGCGGGCTGGCCCGTTAAATCCGCCCCACGAGCTGTGGCACTGGGGGCCCCCAAGATCCTGAGCAGCCTGGGAAGCTCCAAAGAAAAAGCCCTCCTGGTAAACGGTAGCTACTGCTTCAGTGATGGGCGTTTGCAATATGGACCAGTGGGGTTTTTCCTAAGTCTGTTGGCACAAGTCAAAAATAGCAGCGCGCCTGGTTTCCTCTCTGTTCAAAGGCGGCGGGCTCCTTATCGGGCCTGCTCCCTCTGGCCACCCTGATACTGGCCGGGAGCGCTGCCAACATCGCTCTGGGACCTCACAGCCTTTTCTCTCAAGTACCAGGAGCACCCTGGAAACTCTTGCACAAGTTTCATGGAAAATTCTCTTATTCCACGAAACAATGGTTATTTTTCTCTAACGGATTTGCTTTTTCTTTGAAATAGTAAAGGGGGAACTCACGAAGACACAATAGCATGGGCTATTTTAATATTTTTTTATTAAGGGCTATAAAAATACCCAGAAAGATAAATAAACGTGATGCAATGATCTGTGTCCTCGGACGAAGAACTTGCTCTCACGGCATTGTTCGCCTCCACAATGGCCACGACCCACAGGGGCCCCTGATTCCACGCCGTTTCCTCTTCTTTCTCCACAGGCTGCAGATTTTCTGAATCAGTATCCCGCCCTCGGTCTTCTCATTTATAAATCAAACTCGTTCTCAATCCATTGTTTAGAGGGAGCGTATTTTTTTCTGTTCCACAAAAAGAACTTTTTTCCTCACTGTGGGAGGGAGAAAAAATGGTAGAAAACTAAAATGCATCATCATCGCTGTTTAACAGAAACACTCCTCAGGTCCTGGCCCCTCGCTCTGCCCTTATTTTACTGTTTCTTGCCCAGGAGGATGGTGCGGACTTGCAAACTCCGTTCCGCGATCCTGAGGCCAGAGGAGGCTGGAAACCCCGGGAGCCCTAAGAAAGCAGCACCTCAACCAGTGTGAAATATTCCAAAGGAAAAGGAAAATCAGGGGCCCCCAATGGAAAAGTCTTCGCCCAGTTAATATCGACTCTCGTAGGAGGGGGCAAGGGCAGGGAAGAGCAGCGGCCAAAGAGCCTGCGGGTCAGGAGAGCTGGGCAGGGTTCAACCCCTTCACACATGGTTGTGCCACCTGCCCCTGTAAACTTGGGTCCCTGTACACAGTACTGAAAGCCCTGAGGACAGCTGGGTGTGGCCCCAAAACAGGCAGTCTTGCTGAAAGGAAAACTCATGAAATCTTTCCGAAGATTTCTTACACCAATCCGGATCCTCTCTCCTCCCTCCCTCCCCACCAACTCTGCTCTTCCTCGACACGAACACGCCGTATCTAGTTCCCCACACTAAGATCATTTGCGAGCGGCCAGGGAGATAATTTGCTGGCCAGGGTCCAATCGCTGGCACCACATGGTCCCCTGAACTCATCCAGGAATAGTCCCTGAGCACCAGCAGGAATGACCCCAAAACCAAAAAGAATTTGCTAGGGAGCTTGTTCAAATTCATTCCTTCTGCCTCACGGCCACTCCTACCCTAATTCTAGTTCGGGAATCTAGGGTGTAACCGGAAGTCTCAGGTTTTGAAAGCCACCCATTGATTAAGAAGGGAAGCTGGACTTACCAGTCAAGAGCATTTTATCTTAGTGTTGCCAAAAATAAAAAACTAAAATACAGTTATTACACTGTGCAACGGAATATTTTAATGTACTTCAAGTCATCTCACATTAAACAGAAGCGTGTCTCAGATTCCTCCGCAGTCAAAGAATGTCTACCCAGCATTATAACTGACAGGAAGGAACTGAGCTGCTTTCCTCTGGACAATGTTATTCACTGCAAGGAAGAACTGCCCCGAGGGTTTCTCCTTGGAACTGAAAAATGGGTTTTAATTTTTAAACGAAAAGGAATGTCTCGATGGTGACCATTCAGGAGACACTTTCTGAATGAGGCTGCCAAGAGGCTGCGTAGGAACGGTCAGATCAATAAAAGGCTTCAGTCACTAAAATGCACGGATTCATTCCTTTAGGGAATACTTGTGGGTCCCGTGTGGGGGTCACGGGCTTCCTTCCCGTGCGAGGGATCACAGCGTGCTCCCCCCGAACGCTCCCCGCACACCCTCAGCACTCCCAAGAGTCAGCGCGCTAGAATGCCACAGGCTGCATCCACCATCACGAACTAACTCTCGGTCGAAATAGTCCCACTGGACTCCAGCGCCAGCCTCTTTCCCTACACGTCCCCTACATCGATTCTGCTTCCAGTCGCCTACGATGCCTCGTAACTGAAAACTGACAAGTTTCATCTTTTGATCAACCTTTTAATTAGCTAAAGCTTAATAAGCTGCAGCTTTTTTCTGTGGGAATTTGCATCTCGTCTTAGATGAAGAAAAGGAGTTTGTAGAGACAGGCTTGTGCGACTGAGCGGAAGATGGAATCTTTCTGCGTCCCGACCTGAGCTCCTTTAAGCGTGTACCCAAAAAGCACGCGTACACCATATTCACGGCCAGAAAATACGCTGGGGACAACTGCCGGGCAAGCTGGTACCCAGGGCCATGGGCCAGATGGCGCCAAGGCCAGCACCATACAAACTTAAGCTCACTGATGCTGGCAGTCAGCTGTTCCAGAACATTCTCTTTTAAGAGGCAGAGCTGCGCTGTCACGGCTCAAACATTCCTGACCAGAAAAGTTCTAGCTCACCTGTTGGAAACGTGATCGTAAGTTCAAAGGAGGAAAAATGATTTCAGCTGTTCACAGTTGTGCTCCTGCCCAATTCTTCCCCCACACCCTCCTTTTTGGGGTGGGGTGGGGGATTTGGGCCACACCCTGCGGTGCTGGGGCTACTCTCAGCTCTGTGCTCAATAGTGACCCCTGGCAGTGACCACAGGCGATGCCGGTTGGCCACAAACATGACCAGCACCGTAGCCCCTAGATCATCTATCTCTCCATCCTGCCCCAACATTATTGACACTTAACATCAATCTGAGAGAAGTTCCTAACCTCTCCCTAATATGGACAAAAAGCTAAACATACCGTCAAACTTAAGCCACAGGTTGTTCAGGCAACATGGTTTTTTGTTTCTGGACCACACTCTGCAGTGCTCAGGGCTTACTCCTGGCTCTGTGCTCAGAATCACTCCTGGTGGGCTCAGAGGGCCCTATGGGGTGCCAGGGATCAAACCTGGGTTGGCCGCATGCAAGGCAAGCGCCCTTCCCACCGTACTGTCGCTCCAGCCCCGCATTCAGACATTTGTGTTTTTGGTTTGAAGGGGTGGCCGCTCCTGGCACTCAGGGGACTGTGCAGTCCTAGGCATGGAGCCCAGGCCTCCTGCCCACGCCCGTGCCCTGCCCCTTGATCCAGGGTGATCAACATGTATCAATGTACAAGTTCCTATAAACAATCCCCCACCCCCATGGAATAAAAAGTCATAAGCACTAGCAAGCTGGACTTAGTTCTGACCCTGTCATCTTGGATGTAGTAACAGAGGGTAAGGTCTGGGGGAGGGGAGCAGATGGCCACAGCCCCTCCAGGGACACCATTCCTGGAGGCCGCAGCGCCACCTACGAGCACTGTACAGCCCTCAGTGAGCAGCAGCAACACGCGGATGCCAGAGGGCTGGAAAGATGCTCGAAGAGAGGCGGCCCAGGGCGCCAGGAGCCCCGGCACTGGGGTGCGGGCCAAAAAAAAAAAAGTGAGATGAATGGTTCAGTTTCTTAAAGTAAGTAATTTATTTGCTGGTGTATTTTGCCTAAATCTGTTCACAAATCAGAAAAACAGGCTGTGAAACAGGCCACAGATGCGGGATGGGATGGGGGTATGGAAGGAATGAGAGGATTACTGGGATCATTGGTGGTAGAGAATGGGCACTGGTGGAGGGATGGGTACTCGATCAGTGCATAACTGAAACCCAAGTACAAAAACTTGTAAGGTCAACAACTGTACCTCATGGTGTTTCGCTAATAAAAATAAAGAAGAAAAAAGAAAAACAGGCTGCGGCCCTGGCTCGAGGTCGGGCTAGAGCACGGCTGTCTGCAGCGGGAGGGCCAAGCTCTTGCCCAGCACCGAGTGGCAAGCAGGACTCCCAAAACGCCAAAGAAATACAAAGACCAGAAGTTCCGCCAGCGGCAATTAGGAGCTGGTCTGGTTTGTGCACAAGCAACGTGAAGCTGGGAACACCTGAGTCTGCGCCCATGTGCTCCCGGAGGCCTCGAGAGCTCCAACTCCCACAGAGCTGCTCTCCGTGCGGGCGCCCTGTCCATGCCCCGGAGCCCGGCGCCACTCCCCAAAATAAGGTTCCTGATGGCACTTGTTTCCAATAAAATGGAAAATGAAATCTCTATGCTCTGCACTAATTCCTTTAATCAAATCTGGACCTCATCGCTGCTGAATCAATGATCCTACAAGAAGGCTGAGAAGCTCCCTTTCTTCGCGAGACAAGCGTCTGCCTGTAGAACAATAAAACCTCTTCTCTCCACGGATCTCTGGTCACCTGCCCCTCCTGGTCTGGTCCACCCTCACCTCCCCTAGCTAGAGAAGAGAATAAAGGAGGGCCCACCTCCTCTCAACCGCATCCACATCTCCTGCTTGTTTCTCTCAGAGCATAATCTGCAACTTCTTGTGTTCTTCCCCCTTCCAACCCAGTCTTTAAATGCCAAGTCTTTAAATGCCAGCTAGAGAGAGAGCCCATAGGAGGAGTACATGGTTTGTATGCTGGACCCCGGAACTTGATACCCAGCACCATATGGTCCCTGAGCACCAGGTGTCGCCCAAAACACACACACACACACACACAATGCCAAAAGTCCAAGGACTGAGTCTGCCTTATATGCCAGCAGACTCCAGGACAGTAATGGGCACCAGAAAACATTTAACACAAAATCTGCTGAAAAACTGCTACAGCTAAGAGACTCCAGAACCGCCAGTCGCATCCCTCTGAGAAGAGCAACAGGCATAAGAGCACTTGACATGGGCCCAAGGAACTGTGCCACGCTTACCAATTGGATCATAATGCAACAGAGTCAGTTTCTCCCTTAACCGGCTTCTCTTTGTGTTGAAGGAGTAGCCGGTCCCAGCTTCGCTCAACATCCTCACCAGAATGACTCTAGGATTGAACAAGAAACTGTGAGTAGTTGAGGAAATAAGATTCGGGCAGGGGGACAGGAAGGAGGTGCACATTCTGAGCAGCGTCTACGGGAGAATTAGCTGTGGGCCAGCAGTGGAGCCCACGAAAGGCTCGACATTTTCCAGAGATTTAATTCAAGTACCTCCAGGATGACCTAACCAAACCACGCTATGGGAAGAGGCTGAGACATGCCCCCTGGGGAGGGGCAGAGGTCAGAAGCGGGAACAGACAAGTACTGGTAGCCCCAGTGTCCTTGAGGATTTCCTCACGCTGACGCAGAAAGCCCCTCTTTTGCAGGGAAAAAGAGCAATCAAAGTAAATCAGGTGATGAAATTCAAGGATTGGGCCTTTTACACTGCCGAGTTGCGAAATCTTCTTTCCCTTCCTATTTTGTTTGAACTACAATCCTCTAAAACACAGTGTATGTATTTTGCATCACTGGTTACAATCTGGGTTTTTGTCCTGTGACTTGTCTTCTATGGACCAGGCCATTTAATTTCTTATCTAATTCCCAAATGAATTTGTAGCATTTAAAACCACGTTAGTCATCTTTGCATCACTTTCAGCATTCACCACAGTGCCTCGTGAGGCATACAATATTTGATGATGAAGTTTACGACAATTAGTCATTCATTCAACAAAGATTTGACAAATACTACTAGGTATCTAGAGCCCTGTGAGCAATGAAAAGGCTGCCTCTGGGCCATCCGTTAGCAAAAGGTTTGAAAGGTAAGTTGTATACAGAATGTCTGTAAAGCAAGACATATGACAAATGTCACAAGAATATAGACACTGAGTGTTGGAACCAAGGAATATCTGTAAAGAAATCATTGTAGCCCAGGAGATGCCTACAATCCAAAGGGTAGGAAATTCTAATAACTGGATTAAGATAAAAAGTGATTAAAGGCATGACTGGGGGAAGGGGTTGTGGAGAAAAGACACGTAACACTACCTTTTCACTAACTTTATTCCAAAGAGCCTACTTTTAAGGAGTTGTGATACGTCCTGAGTTGTAAGCAAAGGCTGCTTTGGAATTTTCCTATTTTTAATACAGAAAATCTTACTTCCCGTTACTGTCTACAAAATTTATTTTGAGATACCAGTTTGGTATTTATAGTCTCTCTGGTACAGCATGAAATCTTTCATCTTGGCTATTTTTGAAATGCTTATACCATGAAGGCAAAAGATTACAAAACTCACTAAAATAGGCTCCATCAAATCACAGCTTGTCCTGTAATGGGCTCCAGACACTTGGTCCCGGATTCCCAAACTAATGAAACAGACCTGGTTGGTGGCAGTGAGCAGTGCACAGGACCCTGACAGCTGCTGTGGGAACCAGACATTTAGCTGTGGAATGTCCCTTTTGTGGGTCAGGTGAGTGGGAGGGAAAATATTTTCTGAAAGCATTCTGGGGCCAAAGTAATTCAAGTCTTCCGCAAGCCCAACTTTTGGAAAACAAGAAAAGAAAAACCTTTACTTACTTTGACTTGCTCTTGGCAACTTTGGTTTGGGGATGGTGTTTGTTGGTTTGATGGGTTTTTTGGGTTTTTTTTTTGTAAAAGAAAAGTGAAAAGAGAAAAACATCAACATGTTAATCTTTTTTTAAAAAAAACGTTTATACAAATGCATTCACAACTAAAAACACGGAGGTCGCAACTCACGCTGTGGGTTTTTTTTTTTTAATGCAAGAAACTACTCCCTAGCATTTAAATCCATATGCATGCCATGGGATTAATAATGCGAGGAAATGATGAAATAAAACAGTAAATAAAAAATAACACAAGGAACTACTCCGCAGCTATGGAAACTTGAGAGAGTTGGAGACGTCCCCCCGGGGTGGGCTATGAGCCTTGCCCCCGCTCGGCTCCGTTGCTCCCTTTAAAAACTATTTCCAAGGGTCGGAGCGATAGTCCAGCGGGCAGGGCGTTTGCCTTGCATGCATCCGACCCGGGGTTCGATTCCCAGCATCCCATATGGCCCCCCGAGCACGGCCAGTAGTAATCCCTGAGTGCAGAGCCAGGAGGAACCCCTGAGGATCGCAGGGCGTGACCCAAAAAGCAAAAATAAATAAATAAAAATGAAATTGTTTCCGAGGGCCGCAGCGATAGCACAGCGGGTAGGGCGCTTGCCTTGCATGCACAGGACCCGGGTTCGATTCCCAGCATCCCATATGGTCCCCTGAGCACCACCAGGAGTAATTCCTGAGTGCAGAGCCGGGAGCAACCCCTGAGCCCCTGAGCATCGCCGCGTATGACCCAAACAGTAACAAAAAAAAAAAAAAAAATCGAAATTGTTTCTGAAGACCGGCCCCGCGTTTATTTCCTCTCCGAAGGTGCAAATATTTGGGCTGGACCGAGCGTCCGGCGGGCCGGCGCCACCTCTGCCCGCAGCAGCCGGCGTCGCGCGGGGCCCCCGGGAAAGGTCAGGCCGGAGCCGGGCGGGGAGCACTGTCGGGGGAGCGGCGGGGGGAGGATGGCGGGGGCCCGGGCCCTCCGGGAAGCCGCGCCCCCGGCTCCGGCGCCCCCGCCCGTCCGCGCTCCCGGCTCCCCGCGCCGCCGCCGCCCCCACTTACGGGCGACCGCCGACAGGAACATGGCGACGCGCCCCGCCGGCCTCCCCGCCGGTCCCGCAGGCCCGCGCCGCGCAACTACTTCCGGGGCACAGGCCTGGGCCGGAAGTGGAGCCCGCGGGCCCCCGAAGCCACGCCCCCAGGTGGAGCCCCGCCCCGGGGCCAGGTGGGGCCTTCGGGCCTCCTGGAGGGAGTTTTGCCCGCGCCCCGCGTCCCGACTCCCGCTCGATGCGCGTCGCTAAACGGTTGCAGAAGAACCAGAGCTGGAGAAGCACTTACCGGCCTTGCACACACGCAACCCACCGGGGTTCCATCCAGGCCAGTAGCAACTGTGCCTCCCCCCGGCCCCTGAGCACCCCCAGGTGGGACTCAAAAAAAAAATTTTTTTTTAAGCAGAAAGAAGAGCCAGAGACCCCGTAAATAACTAACATGGGAATTTCCCATAAGTGAACACGACAGAACTACCAAGTGGCAGAGTCGCAATAGAAACCCAGATCATAACCTTTCCCTAGACGTTGGGACCAACACTTTGCCACCAATTAGTGCTTTCTCAGGGAGATTCCTTAAACGGCAGGGACTTCATCAGTGGCTGTCTATCCCCAATAATCTGGACTTTGCCTTTTTTAAATCTGATTTTTATGATTTATGTAACATCCAAAATTTTATAGCTGTGTTACATAAGAGTTAAACTCATGAATTATCTTCACTGAAAAAATTATTTTAGATTAAACACAGCTCTCCAGGTTGTTGTTGTTGTTTTAAATTTTTTATTGCTTTAAGCAGCTCTAAAAGTTTCCTTTTGAATAATTTTTGTTTTGTTTTGGGAGCACACCCTGCAGTGAGCAGAGTTTACTCCTGTTTCTGTGCTCAGGGAACCATATGGGGTGTGGGGATCTCAGATCTCAGTCAACTGCATTCAAGTCAAATGCCTACCCGCTGTACTATCACTTCAACGTCCCTTTGAATAATTTTGTTTGGGGGGGCACATGTCCAGTGATGCTCAAGGATTACCCCTAGGTCTGAGCCCAGGAATCACTCCTAATAGGGCTCTGGGAAGGCTATGAGATGCCAGGGATTGAACCTGGGTCATTCTATGCAAGGCAAGTCCCCTACCCGCTGTACTCTCTCTCCAGCCCCTTTGAATAACCTTCGATCCTCACCTACCCATAACCTGACACCAACCTCAGAACATGGTGCAGGTGCAAAACTCCTTATCTCGGGCTGTTCATCTGCTGGCAAAGAGCTTCAGGTATTCAGGAGGGTGAGGTTTCTTATCTAGGAAATTCCTTTGGAGAAGACCAGAAGCCAAGGAACATGAATTCTCATCTTCCAGACTTTGGAAGTGACTTCAGCTCCTCAGACCCAGTTTCATATCCCAGTGGTCACATGTTCTGCAGCTGAAAAGTCACCAGAATCACCCCTGAGCCTCTAAAAGACCCAGGGACCAGGAGTGAAATCCAACATCTCTGTGTAAAGTATCCCACCGCCACCCCCCAGTTTTCGATAAAGACGCATTTCAAACACTGAACAGTTGAAGAAAGAATTTACCCAGTTCCATCAATATTTACATTCTGCTACCTGTAAAGGTTGAAAAACATGAAAATCTGGTAGTTTAGAACAGTGATGCTTTGCTCATTGTCTTTCTCTTTTTTTAGCATTTTGGGGGGGGGGGGCAGGGGAGACGCTTTTTGGATCATACCTGGCAGTGCTCAGGGGTTACTCTGGGTTAATCTGGGATGCCAGGGATCAAACCTGGGTCAGCCATGTGCAAGGCAAACATCCTACCCACTGTACTATCACTCCAGCCCCTTAACTAGCTTTCTTTTGTGTGGGAGTGAAGGGCCACCCCCCAGAAGTGCTCAGGGATTACTCTTGGCTCTGTGCTCAAGGATCACTCCCCGGGGGACCATATGACATGCTGGGAATTGAACTTCGAGTTGACTGTGTGCAAGGCAAGCATCCTACAAGCTGTACTATTGCTCCAGCCCCTAGCTGGCTTTGTTTGTTTGAGGTCACAACCAGCGATGCTCAGGGGTTACTCCTGGCTCTCCACTTAGGAATTACTCCCAGCAGTGATCGGGGACCACAGGGGATGCTGGGGATGAAACCCAGGCTGCTGCTTGCAAGTCAAGTGCCATACTTGCTGTGCTATCATTCTGGCCCCAAAGGAATCTTTTTTTTTTTCTGTTTTTGTTTTTTTTTTTGGGGGGGTGGGGAGGGGGCTGGAGCCATAGCACAGCAGTAGGGCGTTTGCCTTGCACGCAGCCAGCCTGGCCGAGCCGGGTTTGATTCCTCTGCCCCTGTTGGACAGCCTGGCAAGCTACCAAGAGTATCTCGACCGCATGGCAAAACCTAGCAAGCTCCCCATGACGTATTCGATATGCCAAACACAGTAACAACCAGTCTCAAAATGGAGACGTTACTGGGCCCGCTCAAACAAGTCGATGAACAACGGGAGGACAATGCTTGTTTTCAGACAAACACAGTGTGCTTGTTTGTTTGGGGGGCCACACCTGGCAATGCTCAGCGGTTATTACACCTGTCTCTTCACCCAGGAATCACTCAGGGGAACCTTGTGGGATGACAAGGATCCAACTCAGGTCAGCTGCCTGCAAAGCAGCTGTTATGCCAGTTCTCCAGGCCCCCTAACGAGCTTTGTTTTGTAGAGTTTTTCTAGGGGTGAGCTATGTCTCAAGTCAGAGCACATACCTAGCATGTGCACAGCACTGAGTTCAGTACCCGACATTTTATAGCCAACCCTCCCCAGTCCCAGCACAACTGGAGGAGGCTCTTTTGGTGCCTCGGCAATGCACAACTGGTGCCAGAAGCACCCAAAAAGTAGCCCCTTGAACATGTGCTCAGCCCTTTAGAGCTTCCCCTCTGGCCTGAAGCCCTGTTTTTGTCTTTGGGGGAGGCCACACCTGGTAGTGCTTAGGAAACCATACGTGGTGGTAAAAATCAAACTTGGACCAGCTGCATGCCAGGCCAGCACCCTACCTGCTGTGCTCTCAGCAGAGCCTGCTTTTAAAAAGATCATGGTGTTATGCACCAAGTTCGTTTTCGTCATTAAAGTCATTGGCTTTAATCTTCTATAGCATCCCACAAGGACACAACATCCTTGTGGCTCGAGGTTTAAGAAAACACCAGCAAAGACTGTTGGGTCCTGAGTAATCAGGAGTCACAGCCCCATGCTGATAAGGGCCGGGAACAGTGTGCCATGACCTAGGCAGCCCTCCATGGGCAAACATCTGTGCTGATAAGGCCAGGAGAAAGTGTGTTCCCCCCCTCAGCGGTCTCAAGCCCATTGGCTCCCTCGTGGACTGTGGCTTGCTCTCCCTTTTGATGTGTAGGTGTAACTTTATCTGTCTTTCTGATATCTCATTGGGATGTAGAGCAATTGCTTTGTTTTCGATATAAACCTAAGTTAAAACTGTAGCTAATCTTGCAATATCTCAGTGACTACGTTGGGATGTATTTTGAGCGTATAAGTGCAACCTCGGTGTTTGAATTTGTCGAATGGGTGAGAGTCCCACAACCCATCACGATCCCTGGGCCATGGTGATGAAATCACTTTCGTCCTCTTCCCCGTCTGTTTCTCGGCTACTTCACTGAGTTAGGACTAATTCGGGCGTAATAACAGGGGCCAGAGAAAGAACTCAGGCTGAGCTCATGCATTGCAGTCCGGAGACCAGGGTTTGATCCCCAGTACCATATCACAGTCCCCCAAACACCACCAAGAGTGACCCCACCCCTCACCCCAAGCACTGAATTGCATGTGGCCCCCAAACCCAAACTCAAAATAGAGATCACGTACGAACTTAAAATCCTTGAGCGGAGCAGAAACGAAATACTTTCTAGTCTCATCACTTCAGCCCGCATCCACCTGTTATTTACACTTAACACGTTGTTGGCAGTTGGTGAGCGTTAATTAAAATGTTTGTTAATACAGATGCGATTCGTGATTGTTTTTTTACCCTGAATTTGCATAATGAGCCCTGTGCCTTATTAAAGTACAGAACAATTAGAGCCTCCTGGCAGCCAAAGTGGAAAAGATGTGATACTTAGGGGAGGGGTCCCAGCAGGTACATCTGCTGAAACTGATCCCCACCAGTGGGGGCAGGAGCATGGAGAACCACGTTGATGGACTAGCTGCTCTTTTCTTTTTGGAAGTAGTGGCTCTGGGATCACATTCTGCAGTGTCTGGGGGCTTATTCCTGGCTCTGTGCTCAGGGATCATATAGAGTGCCAGGGCCAGCACAAAGAAGGCAAGAACCTGACCCACTGGACTTTCTCTTCGGCTCTGGATAACAAGGGCTAGGATTTATTCTTAACAAGGGCTAGGATTCCTTGTGTTGGTCAACTCCACTTTCTCAGCCCTCAACTCTCAAATTCAAACCCAAAGGCAGTGTGGAGGCTGTTCGCCTGTCCTGAGATTCCCCATCTCCACAAAATGACCCCAAGCACTGCCAGGTGTGGTAAACACAAAACAAAACCCCCAAACCTGACATTACTTTGGCTGGGAATGAGCATCTGTGACCCTGGGGTCAATCCCCAGCAGCAAAGTAATACATTGGGATGCCCTTCCTGTTTATGTTATCTTAGCTAAGACACTGTTCTTTAAGGGAAAGGGGAGAAGGAAGGAAGGTATCAGACATTTTTGAAAATCTACTAAAACTCTGGCTTAGTTGTTCCAGAAAATGCACAGATACCCATTCAGAAATTCTGTGCTGACTTTGCAACAAGCCTCAACCTTAATTGAGTATTGGAGCGCTTGTGACAGCTATCGATATCTGCCTGTTCTCCCAGAGCGTTACTTTAGTTGAAGTGAGAGCAATCTGGACTTGGATTTTGTTTCTTTGGTTTCACACCTGGCAGTACTCAGGAGCTACTCCTGGTGGTATTCAGAAGTTAGAACTTGGACCTTCTTGTGTGAAGGCCCTAGTTCTAGTACATTGAGCTACCCAGGAATTTACTTGTTTTTTGTGTGTTTTTTTTTTAAGCCCTTAGAGTATTTTTTTTTTAACCTCCAGTATGAGCTAGGGATCCTACATTCCAGAAGTGTCTTTTGGAATCTGAATTATGACCAGTACAAGGGGAAGAAAGGAACCAGGGGGCTGGA